AATGGGAAATGAACTAGTTATTTTAAAACTGTAATGTATGATGATTCTTTTGAGATAACAATGAGAAGATGAAGCGAACGAAGAAGAAAAATTCCAGTTGGCGGCCAAAAAGGCCGTTTGCCGTGAAGTTTAAATTAGCCTATAATATGTGCGTGGAACGCATATTACCTCGCCCTCGACGTTTTGCCCTCGCCCTCGACATTTACTCCTCGACACTTGACCAATAGATAAACTCCACACGACATATAGGGACACTCAAGGTTGCACTAATTGCATGCAATAGGGTTGAAGAGTTGCCAATGATAAAGTGGTGATTTCTGCCTTCTGCTTTTTGTTGTCAAATTATTGATTTTCTTTGGATAAATCTACCGTACAGTGCTGAAACTGTTCTATACGAACTCTCTTGCTCCCCATTCCCTTGTCTATTACACCATAGTCAATCTCGTTCCCCGAGCCTGCGATCCTCGGGAAGGAAACGAAGGCTCTGGGATAATCCGTTGGCGAAAGCCAGGAATTCTGGCTAAGGCCACATAAAAAAAATAGTTGGGTAGCGTCCTTAGCTTATGCCAAAATGTAGGCGGGCGGGCTCTTTTTTAAATTTTTACTACTTTTTAACGCCTTGGTTTTAGGTCCGAAACTGGATTTTCTTGCGCAGTATTGATTCTTTTTTATATATTTCAAAATATGAATTGTACCGTCATTTTCGCACGCAATTTCGTAACTTATTAACACAATTGATAGTTAACAGAAATACTACATATATTAGAGCCCGTCGATCAATAAAAGTTGGGTTTTTTTAAAATAAAAAATAAAAAAAAATGCTGAGCGGGGCCTTTTTTGTGGGCGGGCGAGGACGCTAACCAACTATTTTTTTTATGTGGCCTAAGATTGAACTACACATTCCATATCAACGGCCAATCAGATTCCTCCCTGAAACGGATTATCCCAGAGCCTTCGTTTCCTTCCCAAGGACCGCAGGCTCAGGGAACGAGATTGCACCATAGCGCGCATGTCATCATTTTCAGGTCAGTGTGAACGCCTGAGTAGGCGTCTTGTTAAATCTTAGATCATGGGTATAGCCGGGATTATGTCTTGGTGGTAACAGGTGGTGAAGGTTGTGTTTACTGTCGATAGTACTGAATTAACTGGAACAACTTCTTACAAATGTTATGGTATCGGGGGTGCATGGGTGAAGAGGGCCTCGCTTCCTCCGCGACAAAGTTGCTCTTTGTAGTTTAAAAGTAAATACTAAGCCAATTATCTGAGATTATTGTTGAGACTTGGGATATTTCATACAATCGACGAATTGGCTGCTTGGCAACATGACGGCGTGCTGGTGCATATGTAGTGGTATGATTCTCGCAATCGCGCTTAAGGCGTGAGCCGGTCACGGGTTCGATTCCCGCGTGCAAGCCAGCCACAAAATCCCTAGGTAGTGTTTTTCTACTTTTACGCGAATACATTGAAGAAGTCCTCAATTTTTGTCAATTTCGGATTGCACTCTTCGCCAAACGACGGCTTGTTGGTCAAATGGCATGATTCTCGCTTAGGGCACATCAAAAGACACAATTTTGTCATCTTTCTGTAGTTGCTGATTACTATACGTGTTGACCTATAAATAAAACCTCAACCACATCACGAAACGAAAGCAACGACAAAGGTTTTACATGCTTACCCTATATAAAGAGTACATCAGAACAAAGTGAAAAATGTTTACCATTCGATTCCCGTTGAATCGAACATTTCCCCTAAGAAACATATTTGTGGCCAAAATTGAGTGAAACAACGTTGATACAATCGAAAAACGAAAACTTTTGGCCACATATTGGCTTGCTGGTCTAGCGGTATGATTCCAGTGCCACCACAGTGGTATAATTCTTAGGGTGCGAGAGGTCACGAGGTTGCCGTATATGCCCGATTCCCGTTCAAGACCAAATTAATGCATGGTAAGAGTGATGGGGAGAAATTTTCCACTTTGAACATGTGCTTCAAATTCGTTTCTGCATGTTAAAAAGTTTTGCTGGTAGCCGCTGAAACGATTTTATTTGCGAAATAAACATTTTTATGCTCAAATTAGAGTGAAGAACGTGCGTGGATGGATTCGATGCATCAATCTTTGAAGCATCAACCTTTTGGTGACAGCCGAGCGCCCCAACCCGCTCAAACCCATTGCGCCAATCTGAGACGAAATTCTACATGACTTTACATCTGTGAAAAAATTCGATAACAACACAAGCTGTACTCAGGTAACATACCGTATGACTCGTTTGAGCGCCGCGGTGCTCTTTAAATTTTCAGAGCTTCAGATGCCGGCACTCATTCGGGAGCGGCGCTCTTTAAAGAAACTTTTACTTGTGAATTATATATAAGAAGAACTTTGTCACTAAATGTCCCCATTTTGACAGTGGAAAGTTTTTACACTGTTTAGTGCGGCGCTCATTTGGGGGCGGCGCTCTTTAAAAAAATTGATCTCAAATGCGGCGCTCATTCGGGGGCGGCGCTCAATCGGGGGCGGCGCTCAAACAAGTAAATACGGTAACCTCTTTGTCCATTTATATTTAAATGAGGAGGCAATTATATAGGCACCTCCCAAGATTTTGAATGCTGATATGAACACTTATATCACAATTAAAACACTATAAATAAACTTGCTATCAACATTTTAGGCTTCAAGGCTTCTATCCTTTTCAAATGTTTTTAAAAAGCATTCCAACCCAGCCCACACCCGTTTACTTAGCGTTCATCCTGTATTAAGCGGTCACTTGCAAACCCCCCCCCCCCCACGGCGACCGCTTAATACAGGTTCGACTGTATTGTTTAGCAAGCTGCGGGGGAGAGGATTCAGCATTGATCAGTTAACTGAACATTGCATCATATAAAAGATTTCAGTTGACAACACTCTTTCAAGTAGCACGAGAGTTTACACCAAGCGTCTACCGTACATTTAGGTACTAATATTTTAGTGTATATACCATATATATGTCTTCCATTGTCACCAGTATATTAAGTTCCACTATTGGATTATTGTGGAATAAAGCCAGAGATGCGACTGCTAAAGGTCTGCAGGACGGTGATATTACAGATGCAAAAATTCGTGAAATAGTCGTGAGAGAACTCAACGATATTAAGACCAAAATTGACGGTCTCTCACGCAAAGATCTACTCAGCAGCTACAGTTTTCTACAAGAAGGAGTACAGCTACTGAATGCTTCTCTCGATAAATCGAAGGACGAGCAGAATGCTGTGCAAAGCGATCACGGTGAAACGTCTAGCGGACCGAGCGGTGATGAGTCAGCTGATATCTTGAACAAAGCGTTAGAACTTTCTTGCATCATGGGAAAACTAAAGATCGTGTCAAACGAGTTTGAAACCGCAAAAGAACGATTCAAAGATGCCCGCAAGAGAGCAACCGATGCTTTTTGCAACGAAGCATTGAATATTCAAGACCGAATCTTCGCAACGAAACTCCGTGTCGTTTCGAATATACTGGAATGTCTCGACAATCCTGACACAGCAGTTACTTCGTGCCTTTTGTTTTTAGAAGAACTTCATGGTTTACCCGCTGTTCGTAAGATATTCTCGGTGCATCTTGGTCGTGGAGTTAAGTCCATCTTAAATAAGGCAGAGCGAGTTAAGAATGTCAAATCCGTCATGATGATTAACTATGTCACATATCAATTTGTTTCTAAATACAGCAGCAAGTATTGTTCAGCGCTTGCCTGGCCAACAATTCAACCCTCTGATGGCAGTTTTAACCCAATATGCAGTTGGCAGGAAGTTTCGACAAGAACGTCTTGGGGGGAAGACTTAATCCAACCTCCCAACGAATTGAGACTTGATGAATTTATATGTCGGTATAATTCTGCTGTAAACAGCCGGGGTGAGATACTAGTAGGTTTTAGTAATTACATTAGCGTCATTTTCAGGACAGGCAACAGTAAAGGGGTTTTTGAATACTATGCGAACACAGATAAAGAGAATATGATCAGACCACAAATTGTAGGTCTTGCTGTTGATCAAGAAAATAATGTGTATGTTGCACTATATTTTGAAACAACTTCAGAAAATGTGGATAATCATGCAGTATTATTATATATAATGGATGAGCATTGCAATCAGGTAAAACACGAAAGCGAATTGAATTTTCTTCCAAAACTCGATGAGACATCTACGCCAAGCTTAGTGGCATTACCATTAGCTATAAACAAAAACAATAACATTGTAATGGCACCAAATCAGTCAAAAGACCTTAATGTGTACGTCTGTGATAAGACTGGGCAGTTAAAATACAAGTTTGCACGGGAATATCCTTATCATCTGCTATGCTGCACGAGTGTTTCAAACAATGAAATCATGTTGGCATCATTTCATGGCGACGCTGTTGAAGTATACACAGAGGAAGGAAACCTGAAGTTGAAAATAAAACTACCAGCAGGTCACAAGGTTTGTGGGGCGGCATTTCACTTTGTCATTTGTAAAATAATTGTCTTAAGCTATTATAGCGAGAAGGAAGGTTCCTGTTTTCTCCACCGTTATTCTGAAACTGGCGAACTGGAGACCTCGATGTTTTTTTGTAACACACCCAACATAAAACGCTCCCCTGATATAACATCTCATCCGCGTAGTCCAGTTGCTATTGTTGGAATGAGAACCATTACCTACATATAACTAGGAGATTATATTTGTATACTTTCTCAGGAAACATGCTTGCCGAAATTGATCAAGAAAATTTTATTTTAAAACCATGTACAGAAGCCCGGCAAATATAAATAAATGTAATCCGCAAGATAAATCGTTGTAAAATATATCTTTAAAGATGCTGTAAAGCGGTAGGCCTGCGCAGAACGTTTGCGCAGAACGGACATTCCAATAGTCGGGACCCGACCATTGGAATGTTTTTATATTTCGCACCTTCAAAACATTTTTGAATTTAATCTCTAGTCTGCATTAATTTACAAGCATAGCGAACCAGAAGAGTGTTAAAAATTCAGTATAATACATATCTATATCATATTTTACAACTGTAGCACTGAGTTCAAAATGGAAACAAAGCGTTTGTTTACATTACGGACTTTACAGCATCTTTAACAATTTAAAAAATGTTTAGAAATGTGTTTAAATAAAGTATTTTTCCAGTTACTTGTGTGTATCTCATTATGTATGCAAACTGTTCAGTCGCATGGTTACGTCATCGTCTATAAGAATGAGAATGAGATAAGATCAGCTACATATTCGTCCACAAAAAAGTTTACCAAGTATTTTATGACCATCGATGGTAATCTTGATGCCAGTTTCCTTGAATAAATCCTTCGCTTGATCAAAGAATGGTGCTATTATTGCAATATCATCAGCAAATTTAGATAAATTATTGGAGAGATTCACCGCCTTGATATTATTGACCATTATATAGAAACATTACATGCAGGTCCAAGTATATAGTACCCTGGGGTACGCCACGATAAATGTCTAAAAATTCAGTTGTGACACCATCAACTTTCACCCTCTGTTTGCGGTTGCTCAAAAAGTCAATCATCCAGTTTATTATATATGGATTAATGGGTATTTTCTTGATTTTATTAAACAAAATATCATGTGGGTACACTAACAAATGCTTAGTACTATAGTCAAATGAGATAAATCTAACTGATTTAGCACCTTCATCACCACATATCTTGATATTTTATCAGGGCCATGGTAGAATTATGCCCTTTTTATATGCCAAACTTATAAACCATGTTTAATGAAACCGAGGGGAACTCTGGTGTCCTTAGGGATCAACAGCAACTGGGGAGCAGTGTATTCAGGGTCAGTATTTATATATACCTTGAAAGTAAGTGTTTATTACACTTGGCTCTATTATAGAACTAACTGGTAGAGTGTTTCCCTTTCTTCCAGTCATGCTGTTAACTTTACTTCACCATTTCTTAGATCCATTTTTCTCATGTTTAACAGCATTAACCTGGTTGAGCGGATAAGACGATTAACTTGATTCTGCATGTAAACGAGTAATTGTCGCTTCATCATTCGTTCTCATTGCTTGCTTTCTCTTTTCTCTTTCAAGTGCTTAACAAGCAGAGTCATGAACGGTGGGTCACGCGATGATGATCGGACTTTTATTAGTGGAAAACAAGTTTCAAATATATGGCCATAGGGTTTCATAAAATTGATTACATTCACTTGATCACAAAGTAGGATATTTTCTTTTGCATTTTAGCCGGCGAGCAGTAATTTGACGACTTCGTAGTTTGTATGAATGGTCTGGCATTCTTCAGGCATTTATTTTTTTGGGGTGGGAGAGGGTCTAAGCCCCTCCTCCCCCCCGCAACCTTTACTTCTGGAGGAGTTAAAGCCCCCCCCAAGCCCCCCTGTTCCGCCGCCACTGGTTGGAGTGAATAATTCCAGTAATAAAATTGCTATAGGGGGAACTAATCTCTGGACCAAAATATCCCAAAAACGTGTCGTGTGTCTTGGACATGCTTAGCTTGATTGGTCAAATCATGGATTGTAAAATAACAATGATAGTTATTTTACAATCCATGGTCAAATTAACTAGACTGCAGAAAGAAAAGGTTAAAATAACCAGGAAATGTAACCACGAATATTAAGTTAACCCAAATCAGGTTATTCTAGGTTCACCAGGAAAATATTAACCACGGAAAAATTTAAGATGTCACATGCATCGGACAAATATTCATTATTATTACATCATTTATTTACAATACATGGATATAGCTCTTACTATATAATTTATGTGTACATTGCATTTCTTAGTTCACTGCGACTAGTACTATAGATAGAAACCGATTACCCGAAGTATATCGGATTAAAATGTTATACAGAAACGTTAACAGAAACAATTTTTTCAAAAATTGGAAATAACTGCGTACAACCGAAATTGATCTTTAGTCACTTCCATGTCCTTCGTTTATTTATATTTGTATCTTTAGGAACAATCGTCAAGTTTTTAAACTAAGTATTGTCTGTAAACTATTGGGAGACATCCAATTTTGATCATTGATATCTTGTATCATACGCCCTTTCGATAATTACGTCATAAACGGTGTATTGAAGAATTAAAACGCTATGAGCAGCGTACTCGGGATTAGGAAACCTTAATAATGGAATACATGTTTGAATGTGAGAGCAATTAGGTACTTCGCTACCCTGGATTCCAGAGCCTTCGACAGTAAATAATAAATTGAAATGTCGCGAAGGCTCTGGTTCAACGGGGCGATTCTTTGATTAAACCGCGCCAATCACAAAACAGAATTAGTGGTTTTAGTACAGATTCTGTACTAAAACCACTAATTCTGTTTTGTGATTGGCGCGGTTTAATCAAAGAATCGCCCCGTTGAACCAGAGCTTTCGCGACATTTCAATTTACAGTTTACTGTCGAAGGCTCTGGAATCCAGGGTAGTACTTCGCATGATATATGAACATTAAATCACAATGAAACACTATTAGCTACAAGATTAAGTACAGTACATGCATGCACGAATGCTAAAATTATCTTCTTTTGATAACGCAGATATAAGTACTACGACCAGGGCCTTTCAAATTAGAGGGGGGAGGGCACTTGGGAAAATTTGCCCCGGTTTAAGGGGGCCCTCATTAAAATTTTTTTACCCTTTTTTGAAACTCCGGAAAAAAAATGTAACCTCCCTCCCCCCCAAATTTTCGGGAAAAATATAGGGGAAAATATAAAAACATAGGGAAAAATATAGGAAACCAAAATTTCCCGCGGTTCCCAGAATTTCTCTGATAGGCCCTGACTACGACACAACGGGAAACTAGTTTTTCCTGTCTGCATATTATTCATTTATATATTCCAACCAATCCAACGTTCAAGTACCTGTTCACGAGCCCACACCTCTTTCAAACACGCACACTCTTCTAAAACAAACCTCTTTGATACCGCACCTCAACGAAACCACACCCTTCTAAAACAAACCTCTTTCAAACCTTCTAACAAAAACCAACACCATTTGGAAACCAAGTCTTGTGAGTAAAGTGCGGGAGATCTGCATGATTTGGCAATGATAAATCAACATTGCATCATGTAAAATATCTCAGTTGACAACGCTCCTTATTCAATGCAAGCGACACGAAAGCTTATACCAAATGTCTGGTGCATGTACGTATTAATATATAGATACTAGATAGATGGTTTTAATCATACAAACTTTGGAGCCATAGATTGAATTACGTTTATATATATTTACAAATGTTTTTGATAAGCTAAAATTGTTTTGCTTAAGTTAGAATTGTTCAACAAAATAATGCTTTCATTAAGCTAAAATTGTTCTACTATACTGTACATATTCTAGATCATGTTATTTACAAAACAAAATATTATGAAAACACTATTTACAAATACTATGAATTCAATGCATTATGGATTATACAACTATTTCTAAAACGATCAGTTTGATATGTAACATTACAAAATCTGGTTACATGCATGCAGTCATAATAAAGCTGTTAGAATCGCTTAGTTTTGCAATAAGGAATATCAAATAACTTATTAAATCTTAGATCATGGGTATAGGATTGTGTCTTGGTGGTAACAGGTGGTGAAGGTTGTGCTGTGAGTTACTATCGATAGTAATGAACTGGAATAACCTCTTACAAATGTTATGGTGGTGGGTGAAGAGGGCCTCGATTCCTCCGCAGCAAAGTGTTTCCTTCCATAGTTTAAATGAGGGAAAATTATTCCAAGTGCATGTTTTTGGACCGGTTCCAACTCTTCACTTAAGCTGTAGTGGAAAACAGGAACGGCATAGTCAAGCACAGATCTAATACAAGTTACGTAAAATGAGATTAGTTCTTGCGTTGGAACGTTTACTCTTTTATATACCATGTCTTTGATTGTCACCAGTATATTAAGTTCCACTATTGGATTACTTTGGAATAAAGCCCGAGATGCGACTGCTAAAGGTCTGCAGGACGGTGATATTACAGATGCAAAAATTCGTGAAATAGTCATGAGAGAGCTCAACGATATTAAGACCAAAATTGACGGTCTCTCACGCAAAGATCTACTCAGCAGCTACAGTTTTCTACAGGAAGGAGTACAGTTACTGAATGTTTCTCTGGATAAATCGAAGGACGAGCAGAATGCTGTGGTGAGCCAAAGTGAAGATGATCGCGGTGAAGCATAAAAAATTCGGAGCGGTGCTGAATCTGATATCTTATGCGAAGGCTTAGAACTATCTCACGCCATGAGAAAGCTAAATATCGTGTCAACAAAAGAGTCTGAATCCGCTAAAAAGAGATTCGAGGAAGCGCGCAAGAGAGCAACCGATGCGTTTTGCAACGAAGCATTGGATATTCAAGACCGAATATTCGCAGCGAAACTCCGTGTCGCTTCGGAGATACTGGAATGTCTCGATAATCCTGACACCGCGGTTAGTTCGTGCCTGTTGTTTTTAGGAAAGCTTCATGATTTACCTCCCATTCGCGAGATATTCACGGTCTATCTCAACCGCGGAATCAAGTCTAAATTTAACAAGACTGAACGAGTTGAGAATGTCAAATCTGTCATGATGATCAATTATGTTCTATATCAATTTGTTTCGAAATTCAGCAGTAAGTATTATTCGGTGCTCGCCTGGACAACAATTCAACTCTCCGATCGCAGTTTTAACCCAATATGGAATTGGCAGGAGGTTTCGACCAGAAAATCTTGGGGTGAAAATTTGATCCAACCTCCAAACGAGTTGCAACTGGATAAACTAATAGATCGGCATAAATCTGCTGTAAACAGTCGGGGTGAAATAATTGTAAAAGCATCGTAACGGCATTAAGGTAATTTCCAGAACAGGCGAAAGTAAACGTTCATCAATTTGTTGTGAAAGAGGGGAAGGTTATTACGCAACAAACTGTAGGTCTTGCTGTTGATCAGGAAAATAATGTGTATGTCGTACGATATTTTGAAACAACTTCACAAAATGGCAGTGTGGGTAGCTATACAGCGTTATATATATTGGATGAACATTGCAATCATGTAAAACACAAAAGCATATAGGATTTTCTTCCAAAACTGAAGTCATCTTATTTAGGTTCATTCGCGTTAGCTATAAACAAAAACAATCACATTGTAATGACAGCAAGGGTACTCGAAGGCCGCTATGTGCGAGGGGCACTTCACTCCAAAAAAGCGTGCGGGATTTTCGGATTTTTAAAAATCCGCGGATTTTTTAGCGGATTTTCCCCGGATTTTTTAGCGGATTTTTGAAGAGAAAATCTGTTGGATTTTCCGGATTTGTTGGGATTTTCCGGATTTATTCGGATTTTTTCTGGATTTTTGAAAATCTGTTGGATTTTCCGGATTTGTTTGGATTTTCCGGATTTGTTCGGATTTTTTCTGGATTTTTTTTTAAATTATAGAGTTATAGAGCTAGGTAACATTTTGAACAAATAATCTGAAGTTGTACGACGTCTACAACGTCAACGTTATGCCAGGACGTCAGGGTCGAGCGGAGGACTGGGACTAGAACCACAGCCTTCAGAAACTAACGAAGGCTGGGCATGCAGTCATTTTGTTTAAAATTCAAACAAGTTCATTATTCTTTCAAAAACAGTAAAAGACAATGATGAATATAAACTTTTTATATAGACAATGGTTTTGTAATTATATTTTACAACATAACGTCATTGTAACAAGAACACATATTTAGTAGTAATAGGCTAAAAAAACTTAGCGTATACTCGAGCGTATAAATGGAAATGTAGAGTGGTCCAATAAGTACGAAATATAATGACAGCGATCACGGTAAGCGTTTAGCTTTCGCTGTCCGCCATTTTGAACGTGGCAAAGAACCCTTACGAGTAAACTACACCAAGTACTTCATATATTTTTTGTGGATTTGTGGATTTGCGGATTTTTTAAGGATTTTGAAGGATTTCTGTGGATTTTTGAAGGATTTCTGTGGTTTTTAAAGGATTTTTTGGATTTTGATGGATTCAACGGATTTTGAGGATTTCATGGATTTTTTCTGGATTTTTTCCGGATTTTTTGTTTCGTTCCCCGCAGGAACGAAACGGTACTGTATTTGGTTTCGAGCAATTATCACAGGAAAGTGACGTCAGAGATCAAAGTTATCCAATCCTTTGCCAGTATTCTTGCTCAAACGTCAATTACATTTAGAATCGTCCAATGAGATGACCGCTCCTAGCATAAGAAGTTTTTTGGAGGCGTGGCGTATAATTCGGAAATCTTAGTTAATTATATATCAACATATGAGAACATGCTAACTTAACCTGAAGTTCAGGCCTAATTTTAAATAGGGCCTGATACAAAACCTGTCTAGACCGTGGGACGCTCACATGTTATTTTTAGACACAGCATGCAATATGATTGACAAGTGTTATAGATTTCGTTACACAAAAAAATTATATTCTCATGAACATGTCCGCAGAGTGTGCATTTTGCTTTTTAATTAAACTTAAAAATTCAAGATACTTTTATATAATTAAGAGTCAGTTTCTCTATTTAACCGAACAGCAAACGAAGATTCAATTAGTCAGTTCTGTGTACAGCTTGACTGCCAAGCTTTCTCAAGGTCTCAACTTGCTGGACGCGGATATATACCAGGGATATACTTTAACGGGCTAACAACAGCAACAATAAAATTCTCAATCGTACCACGAAGAAGGCGATGTAGCTCAGAAAACAACGCCGGTAGGACCTGATATTAAAAATAAGACTTTTGCCGGCGAAGCCAGTTGGCAGAACATCTTGGATGTCAACAACAAACTTTCGAATAGATGACTAGTTTGGCTGTTCTTTCGGCGTCGTGTGTCCAAAATTCGTCAAAGATTTTGATAAAGACCTTCAAAATACTATTTGTTTGATTTATTTTCTGCCATAAAGCATAAAAGAAAAGAAATTCGAAGAAATCGATAATGGATTTGTTACGTGCATTTGACCTTTATATTATTATTGTCCCCTTGAGCCCTTCACCGAGCTATTTTTAAAACTGTTGTTTATGTGAACTTGCAACCAATCAAAATCTAGGGCCTGAACTCCAGGTCAAAATCTACAGGCACGATGATTTATATTTGAAGTATTCAAGCGCCAACAGCGGTATATATTTATTATATAGTTTTCTTTGTTTTTTTTCATTTTGAATACTACAACTGTATTTCAACAGCGGTATATATTTATTATATAGTTTTCTTTGTTTTTCTTCATTTTAAATACTACAACTGTATTTCTGGACCGCTCGGCCCCTCCGGGTAATGAAAATTTATAGAACCCGCCCGCCTCACAAAATGAACCAATTTCACTGCTCGACATATACAAGTGATCTATGGTCACAACCGCTAATTACAGACGTCTGGTATTTCTATAATTATATTGGAACGAAACATTATTTCTTTTTTAAAGAAATATTTTCTTGTTGACGAAGTGTACGGGATTTTTGGAGTGAAATGCCCCTCGGCTATGTGTACGTCTCTGACAACACCGGGAAGTTAAAATACAAGTTTGAACATTCTTCGCTAGGCTTCATGAGTGTTTCGGACAAAAATGAAATTATGCTGTCATCATTCGGGGTCGTGGCTGCTGTCCAAATATACACGGAGGAAGGAAATCTAAAGTTGAAAATAAAACCACAAGCAGGTCAAAAGGTTCATGGCGTGGCATTTCACTTTATCAGTCGTAAAATAATTGTCTTAAGCTATATTGAGAAGAAAGATTACCATTGTCTCCATTGTTACTCTGAGGCAGGCGAACTGGAGGCGTCGATGTTTTATCGTAAGATAACTGACTGTGAGAATGAACGTTTTCCTAAGATCACATCTCATCCAAGTGGACCAGTTGTTATTGTTAGAGGGAAAAGTATCACCTATATATAAGGACATTTTCTCTGTGAAGTTCCTCAGAGAACGTGCTTGAAATAGATTATACAGTATATAGTTTTTAAAACAACATTTATTGTTTGAGAACAAAAAACTATACATTCATCATTTCATCAGGGCCATCGCTATAGAGGGGGGGGGGGTGGGGGTGGGGGTGACACCTTGAATTTTACAAGTATATATGTTATTGTATAAAGAACAATTTTTCAAGATGTACTAATAACAATTATTGAATGAGGTTGAGCACGATATCAAGAATTATCAAGCCCGAAGTTTGCCGTTATCAACCGAGGCCGAAGGCTGAGGTTGATACCGGCAAACTGAGGGCTTGATAATTCTTCATATTGTGCGAAAACCGAATTCAATAATTGTTTTATTATTTATTTAAAAAATTCAAAACAAACGGAAGCCATTTGTATTTTATTTGTTTTAAGAAAAAAACAATTCGTTAGTCTTTCGGCACCCGTCGTCGTCGTCATATCAATGGCGTCAGCGAGTCAATATGATTCTCTTCATAGTAATATGGCGCAAACGTGTCCAAATTTTTTTCATATTGACTCTTTGACGCCATTTTGCTAATATAAATGTGAAAAATCCATATTTGGTTAGCCATTGAGTTGATATGACAATTTCACAGTTGGCTGTTAGCCAATCAGAAACCAGGAATTTTTGAAATAAATAATAATAGTATATAGTCGGCATGCGCAATATCAACGAACAGTAAAGCAAAAGTTTTAACACAACTTGCAATGTAAACTAGAACTACTTTGATTTTACTTATACCTCAATGGAATGCCTTTATCAGTTCTAAACTGTCCTTGACTTACATAAGCGTACGGGGGTGTCAGTTAAACGTTTGCCGGAATTTTCGTATGGAGGACTATAATGAAATAACCTGAATTTGCCTTTTTTTTAGTAAATCTGCTCGAATTTTCTCGATTTGTCTAAGCATTTGCCCAAATTTCCACTAGGCAAGTTTATTTTTCGGGGGAGGAGGGCAATTGCCCCCTCCTCCTGCTTCTCGTACGGCTATGTTCATGGGCGTACCGTAAGGAAAAAATTAGGGGGGCGGAAAGAAATTTGCCCGACCTTTTCGGATTGCGCCCGACCAGTACCGAAAATTTTTTTTCAGGAACAAATTATTTTTGGCGACCTGGGGCTGGGGGACCAGTCCCCCCAATCTATGGTATTAAAAGTGCCCTGAGTATGGCGCGTACTGTTTCCAACTTTTTCGTAAAAAAATCGACGAGAACACAAGCCATTCGAAAGGTGACAAATTCATGTTGTGATCTATAGTGATTTTGGTGTTAGAATTCGGGCAAAACAGTTCATAAAATGTGCGATGCCAAACATGGTTACTTGCCAACTGCAACAAAAATGGTTCACTGAAACTTCACGAGTAACCAATTTTCAAACTAAATTCAGAAATTTCTATACACGTACCCTCTGACACGTACCATTTACATTTGTTTTACATATATTCTACTCTATATAATCTAAATTTACATTTTATTATTTTGCTTGTATAAAAATAAACTTATTTGATATGTACGCTCCAGGCGAAATACATATATGTTATTGACTGAGCGGAAGGTCCAGACTGTAGTGTAGGGTACATTGGTCGACGGGTTCTTTTTTCATGCAAGGTCCTATATATACAAACGAAAAAAGAACGGGACTAATATCCTGCCCTGTTGTCCGGACCGACAAGCTCATTCAATAAGTTATTCATTATAGGGCTACAAACAAGAGCATCCTTTGAAAAACAATGGTTAATTTAGTTGTTTACAAAACTATTTGAACATTTACAACACTAGGATTTTAAATTTCTGTAAACAGTTTTTGACAAACTAGTCTAGAGTAGAATAGTAAGTTAAAACTTACCACATCAAAAGTTATGAATTCACATAATAATGCATTCACATATTAATTTATAGTCTTTTTTACTGGGAAAAGAGGTATTTAATTAAGACTTATAAGTTGTTCTCTATCTTAGCGGTGCATGGACTGCTTTGCCATATAATAAATGCTCTTACTAAATCTTTTTCATATAAATGCTAAAATATCAATCTATGAATTAACGTTGCTACCCAATTTACATTTGCGGGTGAAACACCATTAGATTACCATCTAAAACCACCTTATAATTGTATGAACAATGTTAATTTCAAGACGGCTGGTAGCCTAATATATAGAGAATAATACAGGGGTGCGAGGAAATACCAGATTTATTTCGAGTGTTGAACATGATATCTCACGAGTGAGCGCAGCGAACGAGTGAGATATCATGCTCAACACGAGAAATAAATCTTGTATTTCCAAGCACCCATGTATTTTTCTGTTTATTATATAAAGAACAGTCTTTGAAAAGCGATGATTTTTACAGAAAAGCGATAATTGAAAAGCGATAATTTTCACATGTGAGATTATCATGAATAATCTCACATGTGAGATTATCACTTTTATCAGTGCTCGTTTGTTAAAGATAATATACGAGCAGTTGATCTAGTTTACTGTATGGACATTTTTCTTTTGTCGATGTGAGACAGTAAATCGAATTCTTATAAAGTATTGATGACTAATGCGTGTTCGACATATTTGACCAACCTATTCGAGTCTCTATACAATCATTTAGAGTTCGGTCTTGATAAAAATTTAGCACTGTATGGATTATTTATTTTTCGACTGAAGGTTCGTTCTTGTCCACGATCTTCGTAATACCTTGTTAGTTAACCAAACAGATACGGAAAATATACGAACTGGAACGCTTCTATAACAGAAGGGATCAATGGTATAATTTGTTACATTAAGTTTATATTCAGCAGGAACGTCTCCAGGTCGATCTTGCCTCCCACCAGGGCTCGTTGTAGAGAAAAAATATGGCCTGCCATGCAGTCTAACATTTTTTGGCAGGTGAAACAAATTTTAGCCTGCCATTTTTATTCATTGAAATGCCAAAATGGCGATGTCTCATATATGAGTCATATTGTAAAATCATTGTTTTCGTGATATACATTTCAAATATAAACGTATTTAGTCAACTAAATGATCTAGTATATATGACTTGGGTAAGCAAATGAAATGAAATGTATCTATAGAATTTCACCTGCCATTTTTTTGACTTTTTTTTGTTTTTGCATGTCATTTCTAAAATATGGCCTGCTTTTGGCCAATGGCAGCCCGCTATTTCGAGCCCTGCTCCCGCCCTGGCATTGGTGAAAACCATCAGTGTCACGTTATTAAAACATTCCTCTTGTGACCTATTTTTACTAGCTATAGGATCCGACTTCAATAATTTGCTCGTCTTTCCCCCTCCGCCCCCAAAACAATGTGTTTTTTTTAAATTGCGATAATATTACGAAAGTTGGTCAATTGGTAAGCTGATTAACACAATCAATCAGTAAAGAAAAATCTGACCAAGACCAGACCTAGCCTTCTATTGTGACACGGCACTAATTTAGTACTTACTGTGTTTCGATTGGCTGAGCCTCATTTGCACTGACGATAAACAACGGAAATAAAATGGCAAAAATGCAACCACTAAAATAAAAATTACGTGCAATTTCATAAAGTGTAGACTGATGGAAATGTACGTACATGTACACGTACATTTCAGATATCAATAATACACACATTAAAGTCCTAAATGCCATGAATCCTATTCTGATTACCTTACAACAAGTGAGTTAGAACCATTCGTTAACAACGCCAATGGTAGACCAAAGCCAACAAAGTAAGGCCAGTTAGTCTCTATAAAAGCTAAGCGTTTGTCAACTCTCCAACCTATAGGATAAGAATATAGCCAAATCAAAATACTACTAATTATCAAATAAAAAAACTATCAATTTTTAGAGTACAGAAAAATAACTGTGAAAACTGTCTGTTATCTGAGTTACCTTTATTTACCCAGGTATATTCAAAGCAGTATAGTGAATGTAGCAGAGTCATATGTAAAAGACTGAGTATCGGACCCACAATTGGAACTATACTAACTAAAGTCGCCTACAGAAATGGAAAAAAAATTATCTGATTTCCTAATTGTATTTTTTGGGACATAATATACGATTAAGAAGACCCTAATATACATTTTTATTCAACTAATTCCACATTGGTGGATTCCAAGGTTATAGAAAATAGATATATAGGTACTCATTTTGTCAACGCAACGGCCAAGTTCCGGCTGCACAAAACCACTATACATAATTATGTGATTAATTACATAATAATTCACATAATTATGTGATTAATTACAATTACACTACAACTTTCCTTTGATGTTATTATTTTATTCTTTGAATTGGTGGGGAGTTCGTCCCCATATATATCATGCATGCAGGAACTATTATTTCAATTCGGATTAAACTTCAAGATTTTCACGACGAGAATCCAGCAGACCTCATAATTTTTCTAATCAGTGTTAGTGTTAGGACGTGATGTGGTTGATAATTCATTTATAAATATTGAAAAACTTACCTGCAGCAAGAAAAAGCCTTGGATTAACAGACTAAAGAATATGTCAGCAATGGTTAAACTCACATTTTGAGCGAAACTGCAAAGTGTAAGTGAAGAAATATTATTATATAACTACAGTGAAACACGCAATTTGATTGGTCAATAGCCGTGCAGGATCAGGCTATCCTGCACGAGGAATTAAAAGGTCTTCGCGGGATTTTCGCGGGATTCTCAAAATGTCATTGTTTCACTGTAGTTATTTTATAAAACAATTACCAAATGGTTTTCCAAGCAGGATAGCGTGATCCATGCACTTGGGATGTTGCTCAACTTTCGGAAAGCGTAAAAATACACTCGCCTGCGGCTCGAGTATTTTTACGCTTTCCGAAAGTCTCGCGACATCCCTCGTGCATGGATCACACAATCCTGCACGGAAAACCATTCGGTATTCCTTTAATAATGCTACAACAATAAAATACGCAGAAAAGTAGGGTGTTTTTATTCTGAGTAATGAGTAACGAAGTAAAGTAGTAAGTAAGCAAAGCCTTGAAAACAGTGAGAGAAGTCCGATCACCTTTTTATTGAAGATATATGCTTTTAGTTAACAGTGATATTATTTAATAATACTCATATTTTGGACTTGGGCGAGCATTCCAGTTAGCATTTGACAAAATTGCTATTGAAATACCACCCTTTTAAGGATGGACCATTAGATTTTTGAAAAGGGGGGGGGGGGGCAAATACAAAAAAAATTCGAGCAGAACTTTAACCAAGGAAAATTATTTATAAAATAACATGTATATAACGCGTGCTCTGATTGGTCGAAATCTGTGTTTGGATCAGGCCATCCAAACACGGAAATTTAAAGTGAAAGTTTTTTAAAGTGAAATTTTAACACGGAAAGTTGTTATTTTATAAAACAATTACTTTATGGTTTCCGTGTTTGGATGGCCTGATCCAAACACTTGGGAATGTTGCTCGAGTTAGGAAAAGCGCGCAAAATCACTCGCCTTCGGCTCGTGTTTTGCGCGCTTTTCTTAAGTCTCGCAACATTCCCGCGTGTTTGGATCAGGCCATCCAAACACGGAAATCATAAAGTAATTGTATAATCTTGCACAAGAAAACTACAGGGAAAAAATCGTGCAAAAGCGCCATGGTTTTTACTAATAGGCTATACGTGGTGTTTTATAGCTTTATAGTTTGTAGGATTTTATATCAAATCTGAAATGAAACAAGGCTTCATATAAAATAGGGATACCTGTATAAATTTTAAAATCAAAGGCACGAAAACAAATCATATCACACATTTACATACTTCATGTTATACAGATTATAGTGAATATTGTTTGCAACAATTTGTTGCTACTTTATTTTATACTTTCTTGGACAAGAAGTGAAATTATTTATTAAAACAGCAACCATTTTATAACAATACCCTTTTAATCAACACAAAGCACATCTGCTCTTTAAAAACAGAATTATAAAACAGAACCAGATCATAAGCTTAAGGCGAGGGTACTAATCCAGCACGGTTATTTTATACACCGGCGAAAAGCAAAGCTAGGAAAGGTTATTTAAACCACTCATGTTATGCCCACGAATATATAGGATTGTGGTTATTAAGATTGGTATTAGGCATTGATTTCGTGAGCACCTTGTAACATAGAAGCAGGGACGTCGCGACCGGGAAGGTGTGGGGGAGGTGTAAAACCACCCCAACTGTGAAATTCAGGCAAAAATCAGGTAAAATTCAAGTTAAAATTTTGACATTTTCAGGTAAAATTTGCATAATAAAGTAATAATTTTTGTAAAATACAGTCAATTTACATCCAATTCGTTTGCGAATTTGCTTTAGAAAATGCCAGAAATGCAGTCCTAGAGCTTTAAAAATCCCCTTTTTTCAGAAACTTAGTATGACAGTGCAAATCAATCACAAAAAGCTTTATTATAATTATTACATTTCAGGTAAATTTTTAACATTGAAGTTCAAATTTCATGTAAAATCAGATTGTCCGACACCCCCCCCCCCCCAAATTCAGATGCTTCGCTACGTCCCTGCATACAAGATCAACCTAGAAAAACTATAAAATTAATGATACTATGTCATATATTCGAAGAAAAAATATCCTCCAAGCGAATCATGGCGAAAAAAATTCCTGCACATCTTTGCCCGACGAAAAATATCATGCACGAAAAATTGCCCAACCCCCCTCCCCCCCCAAAAAAAATCAAATGGTCCATCCCTTAGTAATTTAAAAATCTGTAGTTTTATGTTAACTTAAGTTCAATTAAAAACTTAAAAACTACATAAAAATTTTCAATGGTTGCGGGCTTCATTGGCGGCTCGGTTCAATGTTATAGGCCGTTCGCTGTGACCTCGAAAAGAGCCTAGAAAACGATTTTCATTTCCCTTGTCTTGGAACTGAAATATTTCTATTGGAACTAACACTTTCAAGTACGCTGAGTTCAAATCCGAAAAGTTCCCGCTCCGCAGACCCGCAGTTTTCTCACCAAACTGCTATTTTATCTTCACTAATTTCACGACAAATTTTTTCATTGTTCAACGACACGGATCGATGACAAGTGACAACAAACGATTATGTCACTCAAAAGAACCAATTTCTATTTACCAGTCTTCCTTTTAAGAAAAAGACCGTTTTGCTCGAATCATTGAAAAACATGGGAAATGCATGAAAGTGAACGATATCGGGACGCAGCAAACGGCCTATTAAACAACTTCAGAAAATAAAAAACTAAGAAGAATTAAAGGATTTCCAGGCACCCCTTTATGAATTAAAGGACAACCCGAAATGCACTCGTTATAAAGACCACGCGATCCACTGGCTTCGTTTGGAAAATTAATGTCAATTGATAAAGAAATTTTAATGTTTTCACTCAACGTACTTTACCTGCCGCTAGATGACAAAAGAACAGTAGGTTTGCCGCTTCTTCTACGATATGCCAAGTCGGCTATTTCCTAAATTTTTTCAAATGAAAATATAACTGTCTGGAGTCTGGACGTGGTCAACATACAAGTTAATAGATTTCACCGAAATTTGCATCTAAGAATGCAGTGTGAGAGTTGGAAGGAAATACGGGAAATTTAAAGGTGATATGACGAGAAATTTTTTTCATATTTGAAAGAATTACCATCTAAACCGTTAGATACCATCTAAAAACGGGTCTGTTGTCTGAAGGGATAATCAAAAGCTGATAATTCATGAACAATTTGGAGCCCTGGCTAGCTGAGTTTTAAAAAAATGTAAACCGAAGGACGTTAAAAGTTAAAATTGAGCGAATTATCTCGAAATCTATACACGATATATACTATACATGCAGTAATTACTTTAACTGCGAGTACTCACCTGATACCAGAGACTATTAAGAGGTTTGGTGAGCCAGAATAGCGGGATCACCCAAAATGCGCGAAATATGGAGGATAAAGCTGGTACCATCCACATCCACATCAAACTTTGCGTTGTCTCAGAACCAGTTATAGTTTCTACGAAAATTCAAATATAATTTCATATAATTATACATATTAGAGATCGAAACAAGCGTGGTTGAAAACCGACGCATAATTAAAACATAAATCATAATCATCAATATAAAGTAAGCTTTATTAATTACACTGTAGAAATTTTGCAGCAACTACATTTTGTAAATACATGCATGAATAATTAATAAGGCTACAAACAAATCACGACGCGGTATTTTGGTCACAAAGGCATGTTAGGGGATGTTTATGAAAGTTATGAATACTAATTCAGAAGCAGGGATGGCCGGATGGTTATGAAAGTTACCAATTACTAATTCAGATTTTAAATGCATGCTAAAGAAGCGTAGCATTGTCCCTATATGCATGGCCAGTGAATACTTAATTATAATGCAGACGGGTTTAAACATTCCTTTCATGTGCATCTTAATAAGCCTTCTCTGTTTCTGTGACTGGATTGAATGGAATTTTATATTAAGATGTATAATATAAAAGAATGTTTAAACCAGTCTGTATGAAAGTGGTCTATATGCTGTTATATGGCAGGAAAGAAATAATACCATGTCATCGTACAGGTTTTACATTTTGAGGGACTTGTTAATGTCATACAAACACGGAGGAACAATTTAGTTTTATTAACTCATTTCGATGTAACTCAACTTCCGCAGTAGGCCTGTAGGACTATATAATTATACATGTAGAGGGACTAGTCTAAGTTAAGTGGATTAGATACGGTAGCGTACAGTATATTATTGGACGATTACGTTAAACTCGTATTGTGCAAATTACCAGGTCTCTTATATACACGGCAAAACAAGCTGTTCATGTGAACAGTGGTAGTGAACACTCAGCGTCAGTGACTAGTCCATCAGCGTCAGTGACTAGCCCAGACTAGATCATGTGATCTTTGTAACCAATTTTAAAAGATCATTGATCAATTTTCACGAATGTGAACGCGATAAATCAGTCAACACGTCATCCATGCACACATTTTGTACGAAAAATTCAGAACTTTTATTGGAAAATAACAAACAAAGAATGTAACTTACTAAAAATAAAATAGGTAAGTCGTTGTAAGACTGGTATCAGATAGTTCTCAAATAGAAGAATACTCATCTAAAAATTGAAATATTCTGCATTAGAAAAAATAATCAGATATTGTGGGTGACACATGTTGATTTCTGCATGACAGAGTATTCTTTACCTAACAATTTACATGACTGCGTGTACTTCAGTTTAAGAAACGACACCAAAATTGATTATATCTGGCAAAGTATATCCATGCAGTATCACTAGTACATACAGTTCTACTTAAGACAATGCACAATACGATTACTCGTATGCGATTCTTACCCTGGCGTATGGTACGTGCAAAGATGTCATATTTCAAATTTCCACCATAGACTGATGAAAAGGAATGGTGGTGTCAGCAGTCGTTTTCATACGCCAGAATGACAATCACATACACCCATTAAACCAGGGCCAAAAAAAAAAATATGTGGGTTTCCGGTTTCCCGACCCTACCTAGCTTTTGGACGTCGAAATCCCGACCCTAAACTTTTTGGATTTTACTACATCCCGGGCTTTCTTTGTCAGTGCCCGCGATCACAATTAGTATTATCAGCGGTATATGATGATAACATCGAGTGATTCCTGAAATCACAATGTTTGAAAGAAAACATCTTAAAAGCCAAGTATAAATTATATAATACTCGATGTGAATTTATAACTTGATTAAACTGTAACAGTTTGTCAGCATGTTAATCTATATTTCAAGATATCAGTTTGCTTCTAGTCAGTTTATTTGATCCAGACATATTGCCTTTTAATTTTTTGACAAAACTGTTTATGTTTTAGCACTAATTTCACAGATCTTATATGAGCTAGTAACATTTATAGCAGCTCAAATAAGAAATAACCAAGTGACTGGACAGACGGGAGTTATTTCGTATTTTGTAGCAATATAAAAACTTTTGTTTGCGGTAATCTTCACCAAGTTTGTCGTTAGCTCAAGCGGTAAAGGCGCTGCGTACCGAAAGTGAAACGCAGTCGGGGTCGGGATCGATGCCGAACATTTATTATCTGATTTAGCTCTTTTTCTCAATTTTTTGTAATTTTTTTCTTCCTTCCTTTTTTAACTCTTAAAAGTTAGGCCGGTTAGTGTTTGGGATCGGTATAAAATCTAAAGTGCTTTAAAAAATCTTTTTTTATCTGGTTGAAAATGTTTGAATATTGAGTTGCGAACTCAACCGCTGGTAATTCTAATTGTGATCGCGGGCACTGACAAAGAACGCCCGGGATGTAGTAAAATCCAAACTTTTTTATTGGATCATGCTTGTAAGTGTTTCCACTTAGAGGAAAAAGTTTGTGGAAAATTGAAATTTGAGGCAATATTAGGGAAATTTATCTTTGGAAGTGGAAGCACTGACTAAACAAAATGGCGTCCGCTTGTTCGGAAAATTAAAAAAAAAAGTTTAAAAAAAAGAAGTTAAAACCGACCTACTACCCTACCTAAGTTTTTATAAGAAGAAACCGGAAATCCACATATTTTTTTTTTTGGCCCAGTCGTATTGTGTAAATAGACCTTAAGACAATTACAGTAGGTGTTGGACAAAAGAATCGGCAATTTAATGAAAATTAACAATTCAATATGCCGCGTCTCTTACTGCGGTCCTACTAATTACTGCCCGAGACTGCCCGGGGACTGCCCGGGTAAACATAACGTTTTTTATTATATGGTAAGGCAGTGTGCTCTTGTTTTAAATCACTAAGTACATGTATAAAAAGTTTTTTTCAAAACATTTGGCTGCACGCTAGGACAAATGGCAAAATTTGCACGGTGCTCGTTTGCAAAAACAACTGCAAACTGCTCTAATAGTCTTTCTGTTTCTTTGCATTTGCATTTGATCTCATTTGTGAGTCGGCCTCAACGGTCTTTAACTTTTCTCCAAAAAATCATATGCGAGCTAGGTTATATGCATAATATGCCCGACATATCAAATAATGTTAATTTGAATTTATTTGAAAGAGACAATTAGCAAAATCGAGCGTATCTAAAAGTTGTTTCATTAATTAGCAAAACACGCAAACATGTTTAAATAACTGTACGGTTCATAGCCAACCAGAGTTGAGAATTTACAAATCATATTTTACGATAATGTTTATTATAATAAAGCCGGTTACAGACGAGCAACTTGTCTATGACAAGTTTTTATACGGCAAATTCTATTTGTCAAGTGCACTTGTATAGGTGCAAAATATAATTTCTATGACAAGTTTTTGGTTTACTGACCGCCACGATAGCTATTGTTGACCATTACAACAATAAATCGCTGACCAACGGCATCAAGTGCTCAGATTACTTTGACAAGTTTTCTTTGTTGACCCATACAGACGAACAAAATTTGTACTTTGACAACTTTTTTTGTGACAAGTACACTTGTTCAAAAATTAGCATGCTAGCTATACTTGTCACAGTAAAAATTGTCAAAGTTGCGTATACAGACGAGCAAATAAAACTGGCCACATAAAACCTTGTCATAACGCAGTATGAAATTACACTATATATAATACATCACTTAATATTTTTCAAACTGCAGTTCTTCGGCGTTGGTTGTTCTGGGGGGTGTATTACGCATTAGAATCTGCTCCATTTTCACAGCACTTTCCAGCATTCCAAGCTTTGATGCGATCTCCAAGCGGTCCAAAGCTGCTGAGAAGTTGTAATCTTCCATCAATCGCTTCAACGTGCTCAGATGGTTTTGA